TCTCTTTTCAAGTGGGCCGGACAGTGAGGCGGAGGGGCCTTGCTTAGCTCATGATCGCACGAGCGGGTGGCCCATGATACACTTTCTAATAAAAGGAAGCCCATTCTACTTTTGCATTAATAATTACGTTAATTTTTGTTTTTTTGAATTGTTTTATTATTCAAAGAACCATATCCGGGTAGTTTATATATATAAAAATAGAAAAAAAAAATAATTGGACAAAAATAAAAAGAAAAAAAAATTGTGGACAAAAATAAAAAATACGTATTCTCATAATACGGTTTTTTAATATTTTTTTTAAGAAACGTATTATAGTAATACGTTTTAAAATTATATTTTTTAAATATTTTTTTTAAATAATTGAAAAACGTATTTCAATAATACGTTTTATAAAAAAAAATTAATAAATAAAATGTATTTTGATAATACGTTTAATAAAATAATTAGAAAAGTTAATAAATAATTAAGAAATAAAACGTATTATCATAATACGTTTTATAAATTTAGAGCATACTTGGATACAAAAATTTTCAAAAAAATTCAAACATTTTTAATTCAATCACTTTTTTTAATATATGCATATCTTTTCGGGTTTTTATTATTTGAAAATCTGACATTCATGGGCCGAGTAACGTGCATTAGTCAAGGCCCGTGAAGAAAATTGTCTAATCACATGATTTTAAATTAATTAGCCCACATCTTATTTTTAGTTTATTTAACTTTTTACTGCACGTCTACTTATAAAACGTATTATGATAATACGTTTTATTTTTAAAATTAATGAAAAAAAATTAATGTGTAGTATATATTTTGTATTTTGGGTTTGTTTGGGCTCGTCTGAACTCGAAATTGAGTTCCGTTTTTCCCTATACGTAGCTAACGAACATCTCTATTCAATGATACTTGCATGACCAAATTATTCTTGAAATCATATTCTCCCAAAGCTCTTGACCGATACATTAAACGTGTTTCGCGCGACTTTTCTTTTTGAGCCCGTTCGGACTCGTCCAAGCTCGAAATTGATTTCTGCTTCTTCCTATATGTCGTCAAGGAACCATTCTACACAACCATGATTGCCTGGTCTATTTTCGGGATAAATCTATCTTTCACGGGCTAAATAATTAACAAGTCACCAATTATATAAATAGATGGTCCATAGAGGATTTGTTAATAGGTGATTTGTTAATTATTTAGCCCGTGAGGAATAGATTTAACCCAAAAATTTACTGGGCAATCATGGTTGTGTAGGAGGGTTCGTTGGCGACATATAGGAAGAAACGGAACTCAACTACGAGCTTGGACGAGTCCGAACGAGCCCAAAAAACTAAGTCGCACGAAATACGTTTAATGTGTAAGTCAAGAGCTTTGAGAGAATATGATTTCAAGAATAATTTGGTCATGTATGAATCACTGAATAGAGGAGTTCGTTAGCTACGTATAGGAAAAAACAGAACTCAATTCCGAGCTTAGACGAATCCGAACGGGCGTTGTTGTCGTTCGCGGTCACGGCGTCTTCTACCTCCACCAATGTTGGCAGCTGGTTGATGCCTCGCTCTGTGTGACTGTGTACTCTGGGTGATTTGTATAATGGGTGATCTGTGTGAAATCACCTATTAACAAATCCTCCGTGGACCATCTATTTATATAATGGGTGATTTGTTAATTATTTAGCCCGTGAGGAATAGATTTAGTCCGAAAATTGACCGGGCAATCATGGTTGTGTAGATGGGTTCGTTAGCGACATATAGGAAGCAGCGGTAATGAATTTCGAGCTTGGACGAGTCTGAACGGGCCCAAAAAGCAAAGTTGGTCAAGAGCTTTGGGAGAATATGATTTCAAGAATAATTTGGCCATGTAAGCATCATTGGATAGAGGGGTTCGTTAGCTACGTATAGGAAAAAACGAAACTCAATTCCGAGTTCAGACGAACCCAAACGAGCTCAAAACACAAAACACATACTATATATTAATTTTTTTATTCATTAATTTTGAAATATAAAACGTATTATCAAAATAAGTTTTGTAAATAATTAAGAAATAAAACGTATTTTTAAATACGTTTTAGTTTTTAATTATTTGTAAAACGTATAACCAAAATACGTTTTATTTATTAATTTGTTTTTAAAACGTATTATGTGAATACATTTTACACTAAAACGTATTGTCGGAATACGTTTTACACTGCAAAACGTATTTTGAAAATACGTTTTTTAAATAAAAACGTATTCTCAAAATACATGACTTTGATTTTTGTCCACATGTTTTTAAATTTTTTGGTTTTTGTCTACTTAACTTTTTTTATTTTTAAATAAATAAATAAACCCCATATCCATAGTGGTGTTTTAGATTAAATAAAACTAGGATATATGGAGAGAATGATTGCAAAGGGGATAGGATTTTAGTGCTAAACATCATTAGTGCCACACGTGTGCCAACTGGATTCAGTAAAGATGTCTTTTTAAAATAAAAATAAAAATAAAAGTCCACCTTCTTTGAAAATTTATCAAGACCAGATTTTTGTTAAATAAAAATAATGAATAAATAAGTTCTTAATTATTGTTGTGTATGAATTTCTGCTGTTTGTCTCCCAAATGAAGTTCATCTAATCATGATCAACTAGTTGGGCTAAGATATTTTAAAACAAGAAAGGTGAGTGAAAGTTAAAGCATATAATATAACCTAAATAAATAATTTAATTGACTGATCATAGTTTGTTATTTTTCTGCACCAAACGTAAGTTTATTTTTCAATTTTAACACATAATTTCAAACTAAGATGTTATTATGCAACAAATAATATATTAAAGAAAAGTATAACATACCGACACGGATGTTTCATATAAGAATTTGTATTTATTATTATTTAAATTCATTAAACGAATATAAACTACCTAACGCCTTTCTTAGTGCTTGTTTGGAAGCAAATATATAAAAGTACATTTTCACAAATTGATTTTGCAAAATAAAAATTTCCAAAAGTCTCAATTAAAATTAACTTTTTGAAGTCCAAATGCATTAATAATTATATAATTCATTTTTTAATAAGTTATTTTTCAAATGCACTTTTGCTAGGTATTTCCAAACAATGCTATTTCATACTCCAAAAAATAACATAAAAACAACTATGTAACTCATTCTACCTCATACTTTAAAGAACTCATCGCATTTATTTATGACCAGAAACTTATTTCTGCCTTTCTCCTTGAAAAAGTGAAAAGAAAGAAAGAAAGAAAGAAGAAAGAACACCTTAAAGGCTTCAGCTGCAGGCAAACAAAACACAACTCAGGAACAACCCAAAACCCATATCAGATTCAAGAATCAAGAATGACATTACCAATAACCCAAAACTNATTAATACTAATCAAAACACCTACACACTGTTATCACTTATCATCACCATGACACCATCCTTTTGTACTTGTATATCATCAAACTCACTCAAAAACTCGTTTTTAGTGCGCAGAGTACAACCCCATCGAAGCTCCAAGGTACAACCCAACCCAATCTCTCCTACCTCCTACTCCCAGCCGTTTTCTCCTTCTCCTTCTCCTTCTCCTTACTCAAGCTCGCAAGCTCCTCGACTAACTTCCTCTCTTCTCCACTCAACCTCTTTGGAATCTCCACCTGCACTTTCACCAGCTGATCCCCTCTCATATTCCGTTTATTCAAAAACGGGACCCCCTTTTTCGCCATCACAAGCGTCGTCCCCGGCTGCGTGCCAGCCGGGATTTTCAGGTCAACCGTCCCGTCAACAGTCGGGACTTTGACCGTAGTCCCGAGAATCGCGTCAGTGTACGAAACTCTACACGTGTAAAGAATATTCGTATCTTCCCTTTTCAAAACCGGGTCTTTCCGAACTTCAATCACCACAAACAAATCGCCCGGCGGGCCTCCCCGGAGGCCCGCGTTCCCTTCCGACCGGACTCGGAGGCGGCTGCCGGAGTCGACTCCGGCGGGCACTTTGAGGCTAATGCGTTTGGTTTTGCGGAGGCGGCCGTTGCCGGAGCAGGCGGGGCAAGGGGTGGAGGTCTCGCCGGAGCCGGAGCAAGTGGGACAGGTGGCAACTTGCTGGAAGACGCCGAGTGGGGTTCGGGCGGAGGACACGACTTGGCCCTGGCCGCCGCAGGCAGAGCAGCGGGAGGGTTTGGTGCCGGGTTTGGCGCCGGAGCCGGCGCAGGTGGGGCAGGAATCGAGTCGGGAGATTTCGATTTCTTTCTCGATGCCGAAAACAGCGTCTTTGAAATCGAGGACGAGGGTGTAGACTTGGTCTTCGCCTTCGACGGCTCGGGTGCGGCGGCCGCGGCCGCCGCCACCGCCCATGCCCATGCCCATGCCGCCGCCCATGCCTTCGAAGAGGGACTCGAAGAGGTCGAACGGGTTGCTAAAGTCCTGCGCGAAAGTCGAGATAGTTTTTTTTTTTAATTATTATTATTATTGTGGAATATGGAAAAACATCTCGTGTCGTTTTCAAGTGAGGAGTTTTTTTCGAAGCTAAATTGCATTTTTAGTCCTACTGGTTGGTTCAACGCCATAGCGATTTTAGTCCAAAGATTCTAACATTTCGCCTTGTGGTCGTGTGACTTAATATTTTGCGGCAATTTCAGTCCTTTGAGGACTGAAAATTGTAGTGAATTCACGAATTTATATATTTATGATTAGTAATTTAAGTCCTATAATTTAAAATCTTGCTGCAATTTAAGTCCTGTAGTTTAAAATTTAGTTGGAATTTCTGAAATTGCAGCAAAATATTAAATCACAGGACCAAAAGGCGAAAAGTGGAAACATTGGGACCAAAATTGTTGTGGCGTTAATTTTGCCTTTTTTCAATGAACATGTGATTGGATATGGAAAACTTTCAGAAAATACATTATTTATTCTCTCTTTTTTTTTCTTTCTCCTCAATCTCACCAACACAGTTAAAAAAACAAAAAAAAAAAAACGATAATAATTACATATTTTCCAATAAAATTCACTATTCGCCCACCCCAAGTATTTCTATCTACCAATCATTCTCAAACATTGTTTTACTATGTTGCATCACATCAACTAAACTTTGGTGGTTATATTTTCATCCTATTTTGTATCACATCAACGTTTTCGCGTGAGTAGTTTTCTCAATGAACTTGTGATTAGATATGGAAAACTTTCAGAAAATACATTAGTCAATTTCTCACTTTTTTCTCCTAAATTTCACCAACACAATTTTTTTTTATTTCATATTTTACAATAAAATTCACTTTTCACCCATCACCCCATACAAATATTTCTAACTGCCAATCATTCCCAAACATTATTTCACTATTTTGTATCACATCAACTTTAGTCATTATATATTAATCTTATATTTTATTCACAATCTCGAAATTTTCATTCATTTTTTTCCAACCCTATTATCCCACAAGACGAAAAAATAATCTGTAATCAATCGCTGCATCTTTCTCTTTGTCCCATTTCTTTCTTTTTCTTTTTCTTTTTTTCTTTCTCATGACTCGGTTTTATAATAACTATACAGCAGAAAGGCTTACCCCCGTGCCCATGCCTGCTCCTTTGAGACCTGCTTCCCCATATGTGTCATAAATCGAGCGTTTTTCATCATCTGATAAAACCTGTTACAGATAAATAATTTGTCATAAATCGATAAATAGGCATTCAAATTGTATCCAATCGTTAAGGATTAAGGATAGTGTTATTGTAATAACCTCATATGCATTACTAATCTCCTTGAACTTTTCCTCTGCACTAGCTTCTCTGCATTTGACATATAAATACCATCAAAAAAGAATCTTACGCAACTTATATTCCACTTATATGGCTCGGGTAGCTTTCAAGATCGAAATTAATATGTTCTCAGGAAGAGAAATGAAACATTAAGAAAAAGCCAATGAAAAAAATGTGATTTTACTTACTTGTTCACATCCGGATGGTAACTCCTGGCTAGCTTTCGATAGGCTGAGGAAGAAAATAAAAGCAATTGATATTATTTCTATTAGTTGCTCGTTGAAAAAGGAATGAGAAAAATAAAATTTTCCACAAAAATTAAGCATACAATTATGTGAATGCAGTTTCAAAAGGATATATTCATAAGGAATATAGGTCATAGAAAATAAAACCATTAACAATAAAAAAAAATCAAAATCAAAATAAAGCAAATAAAAAGATACTTTCTATATGCCAAAGGATTTCACAGGAGAAGAGATAGGAAAATCACATAAAGCGTACACTAAATATTAAGAAAATTCAACTGCATATCCTCTAAATTCAACATGGCACCGCATGTAATCAGTTTTTTTTTTTTTTTTTTNGAATGAAGAGTAAGATGTAAAATACTCGACAATTTAACCCAGATACAAAATTTCAACATAGTCGACAATTGCTACATACCGCTTTTGATCTCCGATTTGCTCGCATTTTTAGACACACCAAGTACAGAATAGTAGTCCTGTGGGTTAGAAGTAGATCATAGTAAGCATTTCTACATATGAACAGCCACAGGAAAGTATGAAAACACTATTCTCTTCTACACATAAATTATATCCTAAAAGCTATCATAAAGGTAGTAAACTTTGTAAAAGCAAAAGAATAGAAAAGCTTTTGCAATATTAATATATCTTACTCTATCAGCTCTAACAATGAACCGAGCTCCTCGTCTGTGACGTGGATTTTTGTATGAGCTTGAACTGAAAAGAGTGCTCTGGGATTCTTGAGAAAAAATTGCAAAACTTTGTGATGCCACTGATTTGAGCCTACTCGATGAACTGCAAAAAGAGAAACATCACCACTAACGACCTACTCTTTTATTATGCAATTGTGTGAGAACAAGAAAGAGAACAGAAATTCTGAGGAGAAAACNAAAAAAAAAAAAAAGGAAAGAAATGCAAACAGGCTCTCAATCATGAAAACCAGTACAGTTATTGCATTGATAGAAAATAATAGATTATGAAGTTGTAAAAGCCAAACTCAGTATATACAAATGTCCTATGCGATGGCCCCACTGCAGATATTACAGACTACATTTTACCTTGAAAAAGGAAAGTTATCACAGATGATGGATGCAAAGTACTCATAAAGAAAAGAATATGCTAACATTTAAACATGTCCAGCTATCAGATGTCATAAAGATTATCAGTTATCACATACCGATCACATGTTTACGGTAAAGGGAAAGCATAAATAACATATTTAGTTCCGTACTAAAAAGACAAAGGCAAACAAAATTTACATAAGTAATATGTCCTTTCTGCGTTTCCAAATAATAAGGATAAAAAACCACTGATTGCACGCTATTCACTATCCCAACAATTCTTTTTTACTGGGCGCTTCAATGAATTTCCAAAATACTTATATTAAATAGAGAATGGCAAAAACATGTTTCTTTAAGCATGCACATTATTCAGCCCTATCGATTCTATTCAATATCCTTATGTAGCAGGTGTCAAAATCTAGCTTTTGGCTAGAAAACTAAACTATCCAGAAACGTGGTTAAATGACTCTACTTAATGAGTCCAAAGACATTCAAAATCTGTTCTTTATATCTGAGCCTCAATACCGATTAGAATAGCCTAAGTTAGGCCAGGAACCTCATAATCTTATACAAGAGTTGCACCAAGATGAAAAGAATGGTAGATATAAGTATTTTCTATGCACATCAACCACAAAGCACAATCATAATAAGTAAAAATCCCATTTGCACTCAATAAATTGCATTTAATAAAATAAATGAGTGACATATTCACACCAAACAAGTAAGATATTTAAAACAAGAACTGAAGCAATGAACCAGATACATAACATCCCAATTTTAACTTGCTACAAGTAAAAGATATGGTTTCAGAACAAGCTAACGCTAAGAACTCACCTACGTGAGGACGTACATAATTTATTTGTAATAGATGGTCTAAGTACAAACTGAGGTTGAACACCCCATCTGGTCACCAACGTACTCCCACACGGTATAATAGCCATTCAGTACCCTGTAATTTCAAGGATTCAGATGCCCAAAATAAGAACCCTTTTCAGAAAAATACTGCAGAGGTGCAGTAACAAGCGGCTAGCTGAAGAGATATGCATAATAAAGCTATTATGCTTGCATCAAGAGATTAACCGCGTCTAATAAGACAACAAAATGGAACAAACAAACAATACCATCAAGGGGGCAATATAGAATCTTGGTGATATTGTGGGAATAGCTTCAAGAATTAGAGGGTAATGTTACATTGAAGCTTTTTGTATGAAAGATGCAAACTTTTGGTTTTTTTTTTTTTTTTCCAAAGG